GCTTATCGTGAGCAGCGACGCTAAATACGAGAGGTGGGATGAGGATCGGGGATGGCAGGGGAATAATCGACGAAAGTGCGGACTGTTTTGTGGTACGGGACGTGCAGTGTGTAAAATAACACGTGCGAGACTAACACATTGGTACAAAAAGACAAGACTTGTATACATACGCGCGCTCTAAAGCGAATATTTCTACTCGACTTAAGGTGTATAATTTCCAGCGATGCCTACATAATACTCTACTATGTAGAGGCTGCAAAACGCTAGATGATCATCGAAGCACCAAGTACTGTACCGTGCATGTCCGTCGTCGCATTTTGGATGGACTCCGTTCCCACATCGTGTACTAACTTCTGGTTCGCCTCATCCGTGAACTGTTGATTTCAATGAACAAAATGATTCTAATGTTTTTCTTTCTAGACATACTTTATTTCTACGTTTTTTGCCCAGGGTAATGATCTACGTTTGGATTGGAGCCCTGATATTCCATCGAGAAGTCAATAAGGAAGTAGTGTCCGTTTGCGAAAGTCTCTGTGAAAGTTACTATAGGAACGATAAACTGCGTTTTGTATACGCAAACTACCAAAGTATATCATAAATCGAAAGGCCGTTAGTGTGTTAATAGCAAATATCATCGTACGTATGTACATCGACGGATTGCGGAAATTTTAATAAATACAAGGTTTTTAAAAGCCTACCGGTACAAGTCAAAGGATGTTATAATTACCTCGTTTGAATTCCGAAAATAACGCTGCATATTTATAAGTTTTCAGTTTTCCCGTAAAAAATTTTTTTCGACACGAAATGACATAGATACTATCGAGCTATTAAATAATATTTGTACATATTTCAGGTACTATATCAATAAGTGTATAATGTCTTACGACTTTCTTTTGAATGAGCGACAAATGAGTTCGCCGATCAATATTGAATGTTTATCACCTATTCAAACACGTCATAACAATAATCATAAACATATAGTAGATATCTACGTTTTTGATTGTATTAGTTATAATATATATTTACCTCCCCAATTATCCGCGTAAAATATATTATCACAAAATGACGAGTGGTGAATCGATGGAATAATTTAACAAAGTAAGATCGGTTGTCCTCAAATTATTTTTTTTTTATTATTCCTTCCGTAAATGTATGGAAATACTTTCTCGAAATTATAGAATTGTGAGATTAAGAAAAAATTTAAATATAATCGCTTTTGTTTGATTGCGATGAAATTACTCTAGAGCTGATAGAGAAGAAACCGGTAAATATTTAGGTTGACTCCTAAAACAATATGAACTATTACATTATTGTGTATATTTCTATATTTAATTTATTAAAAGCAATTATTCGACTTCACGACCTACAGAAGAATGTAATATTGTTGAATTTTTTACTTTTCATTTGAATATCTTTTCTATAAAAGTACGAATGAACTCTGTACGTAATTTTCATGTGTTCATGAAAAAGTTCACATATTAATTGCTCCAATCTTTATCGGAGGTTATTACCTCGATGTAAAAATTTTTATCACGCGCATATATAGACAGACATCAAAAAGATAGAAAATAAATAATGCTAATTGCGAGTTGCATTCAAATTTATCGAGAACTGAATCTAGATTCGCCTTTCAATCCCCAATACGATATTGCACGACAAGCTAGCTTGGGTTTTTCTCTAAACCATATCTTCTTCCATTTCTGAATATAATTAGAATTCATCACACAGAATTAATATAATTCTATTCTAAAGAAATATCTTATGTAATTAAATAATTTTGTGTACAGATATGATTTGAACATTACTATGATATAATCAAATTTTTGTATTACTTCACAGTAATTACAAATATTCTACAAATTTTCAGATTTCTATCAACAATTTATTTTAAAGATGATACTTATTGTAACGATTAATGTGAATAGTTGTAATAATTCACTTGTTCACTCTAACGTGTATCAAACATATAACAAAAGTGAAAGAGTATTCATGTGAATCGTAATGCCAATATTTTATTTCGATAAACGACATTCTGAATCTTATTGATTTATACTATATTAATATATGATTATAACATAGTATTCTATGCTATAACCTCAATTTTCTACAATATATAAAATAACTTCTATGTGATGAATTCAAATTCCGCAATGTATAATCATGCTCATTGTCTCTAATGATCCTCACATATTCATAACTGAGGAAATAAGTGAAATAACATTTTAATTGAACGAATTTGAATATGTATAGTATGTACATAAAACACGTATTAACACACGCGCATATACATATATATATGTATCAAACGTCTTTATTGTTTAATCCTTTTATCATTATATTGCATCATCATAGAAACATTATATCATGTAAAACTGGTCTACCTTTACTCCGCTTAATTCGAAGAGAAAATAAACATTGTTACATATTTCTATTATGCCATAAGAACATTGTGTCACTGTTTACATTTGTACAGCTGATAACACACATAAACAGAGAGTTGTGTCATATACTTAAATCTACCTTAGTCTTACTGCAATTGTTTTGCTTTCTGTACATTGTTTTATTTATTTTTTTCACATCACTTGGTTAATCAATTTAGAAAACGGGATTGTCACATGAAGATTGAGGAAAGAGGCAGGTTTGCTTTGCCTGCATTTGTACCTACTCTTAATTAATACTTTTATATGTAAATATTAGTGTCACTCTGAACTTCCAAAAAACAAAAAAACCAAAATCAATATCCAGCAATACAATCATAAGTTGTATTTTCACGTGCTATCTGATGGTTAATATTATTTGAAAAGGATTCATTCTATGAGATGTCAAGTGAAAAAATAAATAAATGAATAGAAACACATGAAAAGAGACAACAATTTTTTTATTGCTACCACAATGATAGAAACAAAATACCTCTCAATTTTTATTAACTTTTTAATTATTTTCTGCTAACTAGATATTTTTGTATATACTTAATAATCTTTTAAGATGTCTTATTCTATAAAAGAAAATAATAAATAAGATGCATACACACATCCATTATCAAATTAAATTTATTCATGTAAGATACAATAGTAATCAACATAATGATATTGATTCTCATTTCTTAATCTTCTTGTTTGGTCGGAGTTTGTGGTAATTGATTCATCTCAGTCCAGTTAATATCGCTAAAATTAATTTCTATTTTTTTATTCTTTGGGATGTACTGCCTAAAACGAAATTAAAAAAAATATGCCGTAAGATCTTTGCTATCGTAATAATAAATTGATACAGCAATTTCAAAGAATAAGCACCTGTACGTTACACCCGCAGCATCAAACATTCTTTTTGCGGCTATTGTCTCGACTTTATGAGCGTATTTGTCGGACATGTAAATCACAATTTTTATGCCGGACTGTATTATTACTTTCGCGCACTGGTTGCATGGAAATAAAGCAACGTATATTGTGCAGTCTTTAACGTTGCTCGAATTTTTGTTTAGAACCGCGTTAACTTCCGCATGACACACTACAATCCAACGTCAATAGATTGATTAGTGCTTTTGATAACGAAATAATCCTAGACAAAATAAAGTTTAAAATTGGAATATAAGAGGGTCTTAGAAATATTTTAAAAACATTTGCGAGAATCGTCTAAAAAATGTCATATGTCCTGATTTTAGACTTTGTGTTGTCTATGGGAATTCACTGTTTCATACATTTGTAAAAAAATTGTTATATATGTATTGTACCATAAAGATATTTCGATTCTAAACTAGTGTGGGGACCCCTTTTCCAAGGGAACTCGTCATCACTACATCCTGTGGGCATCCCATTATACCCGATACCGACAATTCTCTTGTCATTATTAACGATACATGCACCAACCTGGGTGCAAGGATCTTTGCTCCGTTTAGCAGAAAGGAATGCAATGGCCATAAAATATTCGTCCCAATCAATATACGTCATTTTTTTAGAACTGTCTCTATATTGAGAAAACCAATAATAATCGAATTATGAATACATACATCTAAATATATCTATTCCTATATTATATACTTATTACAGGAATAAATATATTTTTCTATTGAAATAAAAATATACCGTTCGCATAATGTTCCAGCCATTGCCAGTTAAGCCTTTATTTTAATTTCTCACTAGAGCACAGATTAGATATTAAATATTTTTATATTATTATTTAAATATTCGTTAAATAGATATAACGGGCCTTCGAAAGAAAACTTAACCTATACGTAGAGAACCAGAACAGAAATGTGGAGAATTCCCGCCAATTGTCATCTAAACTGATGAGAATCACACATAAGATATAAAGATTCCAAAGGATCGATTGAACACGTTTGAGCCGGTAAAGTAGCTAGTCTGCTCGCTGAGTAAACGCTGCGCGGATAAGTATCATTAAAATTATAATCCATATATATTATGCCATGCAAGAATACGAGTTCGTACCATCACAGAGAAACCTGAGAGAAACTGATGGCTCAAAATCTGTAACTACAAAATGCTGCCGCGCACTACCGTCCTCTGAAGAAGTGGATATTAACTACACAACAATATATCCTCTCTCAGGTTTCTCTCCGCCGTCGATATAATTTCGTTAAGTCCACTTTCCAATGAGTTTTATTTATTTATTTTAATTGGTTTTAATTTTTGGAAAAAAATAACTTCTAGTCAGTATTTAAAACACTCTTATGTTTGAAATTCTGCAGTATACATAACGTTAACTGTACTAAATACATACTAACATCGTAAAAGCACTCGCCGAATGGGTATAGGATTCTCCACCCTTATAAAACGTACGGCTTCAAATTCCGAAAAAAACTAAAATTCTTTGCGCGTATCACTTATATACCATATTCGGAAAGCTAGCGCGGACCAATCAGCATTCGCAGCGATGAGACATCGCGCTCATTGGCTGGCATGCGAGTGGTGGGGTTCGCCGGTTGACGGCTTGTATAAATACCGCGTAATTCGCGCCCGTACGGTTTTGTGACTCGAGCAGCGGACGGAAGTACACCCTGCCATTTTAACGTTGAAACAGTTCGCTCTTATTCGCAGCCCTGTCTTCGAATCGATTGTGACTTTCTCCATATTCTAATACTCTGCTGAAAAATGAAGACGGAATCTCTCAGAATATACGACGAGAAGCGGCACGAAAGAATCGGTCATCGTTGGATTTTTTTACTACGGTAATCAGTAATTTTGTCTTTACTTCTCGTAACAGTGTAAATATCGCATATTATATCAGGGTCTAGTATAATACTAGACACTGATCATTCGGTTGAATGTGTGGTGTCATGTGTCGTCGCGTCTCGCGTCACTTTTTACGCGTGAAGTTAACCGCACATGGAAAACAAACGCCGCTCCCCCATTTCGATCGCATTTTGTTCGCAGTCTCGGTGAGTCTACCGACGTGATCAGACGTTATTGCGTCATTATCTTTGGAAAGTGTAACCGGCTTCGAACGCGCATTTGAGTTTGTTACTTTTTTAGACTTTCGTATTCTGCATGTTGATTTTTGTTACCGCATACAACGGCATTTTCAATTCTGGCCGTGTCGATTCTGTGTAGAGTCGGGGCCATTCTCGCGCGAAGAAGACATTCGCGAAATGCGGCAAAATGGACTGCCTCTCAGACAAGTAGAAATGTTCGATCAAATGGTAATTAAAATCTATATAATTTGAATATATATTTTCATACGCGATATTTAACTATCGCGTGAGGTTCGGTAATCGCATATTAATCCGTTCGAACGCGTATTTCGTAAAACTTGTTCGCCGAAAGTATATTGCTTAAATAATTGACAATGAGATTTCCGAATATCAATCCGCAATACGGAAATAATAATTATAAAAGAAGAGCGTATATTATAATATACGATTGCCCTTTATGATTGATATTTCTATATTTCGAGCATCAGATATATTTTGAAATATGGAAAATTTATGAACACCAAGAGCGCCAAGAGCGAGAAGTGCAACGTCACAACGCCGCGTCGTCGCGTCGCCTTTGGCACGCGAAGTTAACCGCGCATAAACAAAACTGTCTCGCTTTCTTAATCTAACAACTACGATTTATTTACACATTTCGATTTGTAAATGAAACGCAGATATAATTAAGAGATGAGATTGGCATCGATCAAGTGATAATTGAAACTTATATTAAATCTATATTTATAATTTATTGCAACACTTAGTTCGCGCAATTATAGATTCAATATTAATTAAGAAAAAGACGCACGTTGCCACCGTGTCGCTCTTGACGTATAAAATTAATAACGCGAGAGATGAAATCACTTCGATATATTAATTTTATGTTTTATTTGCAGAACGCGACGAATACGAGATGGTTGGCTCAAAATGAGTGCTGTTGCGATTTATTAAATTGGTAAATAAAATTTATATTAATTTTATATCTAATTATTAAAATATCTAATAATTTTTTGTGTAATATAGTTTCGGCACTAGTATACGGATAATTCGTTTGAGCATGCATTTCATAATACTCGTGCGAATAGCATGTCGCGTATAAAGACAACTGCAGAAATCTTTCATCTTAGATGCATTTCAATGTCTAAATTTTATTTATGAAGTATCGCGAGTATCGAACATGATACTAAAATTTCCTGCGTTCTTATTCTTCTGCTATAGTGAATTATGCACACGTCTAATTAATATCGACTGTACGAACAAAATACGATATGGTTGCATAATATTTAGGATGCGTTCCGCTTTTACGCTCACATGATGTAAACATTAGTTCATCCTTGTTTATCAAATATCAAACAAGGATAAATGATATTTGCAACTGCACTTAATTTTAATAAACTATTTCTTTCGACTTATAGATGCTGTTACAAACAATGGGAAGAGAAGAGAAATGAAAAGCAGGCTTGACAATTTTGTGAGGAGGAGGAAGAGGAAGAGGAGGCTCAAGAAAAGCAAGAGATCAATTTTACGGTAAGCAAGCTTATTGCTTACTTACATAAAAAATTAGTCATTTCTTCCCATTAGATTGTTTTATTTATTTCAATAATTAAAAAAAAGAATTAATCCAAAACATTACGGAAATTCATTCTCATAAAGACAATTTTGAGAAAATGTATAATTATTTTAATGGAATATATAATTGAAAAACTATTGAAAAATTCAATGTGTATAAAAATTAATTTTTTTAATTATTGATTATTTTTAACGCTATTTTTAACTTGTATCTTGTATTTGTAGGTTACAGAATCATGTAATGCACATAGCTGATAACTCCACTGCTGCGCATCAATCGGTCTTTCTTTTATTGGTACGCGCAGTCACCGGCTGCGATCAAGCCATTAGTCAGTTAGTGAAGATGCAGTAAAAAATATAATGGAGACTTTGCACGGCTCTGTACTACTGAGAGATTGGGACATCGGTCGGTGAGTGATAAAAATTTTATCAGGTAACGAATCTGTATAAAATGTACAGATCTATCATTATATTAGAAATGAATATAACCTTTATAGACTCATTACTTGAAAATGAATTAGCTACAAACGATTATGACACATATTTAATCTTGGATTTGTTTATCATTATCTGACAAGCTTGATCAGCATCTTGATTTGCTATTATGATTGAAGCTATTATACTAAAAAAAAAATGTTTTATATATAATTATATA